ACTTAACAGTAAGAACTGCATTTATGTTTTACATTTCTTCTTACATCCATCCATTAATTAAAAATTTATATATTATTATGAAAAAATATTGTGATATTTCTGTGTATTGACATTTAGGTGATGCTTTTAAGATCAAAATATTAGCAAAATATTACATGAACGGTTATAAAAATGCAGCAAGTGTAATTATATGATGTGTTTTAATATGCAATAAAATGGTTTCTAACATGAATAATTCATGTATAAATAATTTCTGCGCAGACAGACAGGAGGATAATACCTCCTCTTGTCCTCGTCTGAGTGTCTGTATTTGTCAACTCGTGTGTGACTCTTCTTCCTCTTCATCACATCATCCTGTGGGATGAGTCATCCTCGTCCCTCTCATCATCTGGCAGGTCCAGGTCTGGACCTCCCTCGGCTGTCTGCAGAAGAATCTTCTTCTGTCCCGCATCCTGCGACGCCTCCGACTCCCTGAAGGTTTATCACACCCGACGGGCGACACGTTATTTTCATACATGATGGTTCATCAGTTTTGAACAGTCTGTTTTTTATGAATAGTTGTTTAAAATTTCCTTCAGTTATCAGTAAAGACTGTAGTTTTTGAGAGGTCTTTTGACCCAGCAGAGCCTGGAAATAAAGTCATTGTTAAAAAGGGCATCTGTATGTTAAAACAGTTTATATAGTTCTCCAGTAGAACTGCTTGTTGGCATCAAGACAGAGAGCTGGGACGTCTTTAATTTCTGTTTTTGTCTCGATGCAATAAACATCTCAGAAAACAATTAACAAAGTGATTATTTTCCTTGAGTCAGGCCTTCCTAAATAAATAACTAACAGTGGGCACGGTTCTGCTAATTAGCTAATAGCAAAATATTTTTTTTAATTTAGCAGATTTAGCTTTTTTCACCAACTTTAAAAATCATTAGCAAACCAATTAGCTTCCACTAAATTAGGCTTTGCCAACTTTAAAGGGCCTGTGACATCAAATTTTTGTAATAAACGTGAGTGCATTTTTTGGAAAGAGAACATTAATAACTTATTGCAAAACAAATTTCAAGCTGCTGTGATGAACAGTTGTTGAGATATTTGCATGTAAAGAAACAGGAAGTGATGTCAAAGGGGAATGTCTGCATGTAAACAGAGCGATGCTACAATAATTAGAGAAGAATCAGATGTTTCTTTAGATTATTTTGGGCCACTATCAGAGAGATGAAGAGTGTAAAAAGGATGGTTTCAATAAACAAAGACTAGAGAGTCTCTTCTTAAAGAGTTCCCCTTTGATGTCACTTCCTGTTTCACTTTGGCTGAGCCAAATTCAAGAGAAAATATGCCAGTCATGAGACAGAATGGGTAAAATCATGTGTATTGTGCTAATTTTCTTAAATATWAAGAAGTTTTCTTTGACTTGTATTTGAAGGATAAGAATGTCACACTAACAACTAACTAACAAGCTAACTTCAATAGGTTTGTCTAGATATTAACTGTTAGTGTTAGCTTCCAGAGTATTTTAGATTTAGTGGATTAGTGTTAGCAAAGCTCAGTGGTGGACATGGCTCCGCTTCTCTGCTACCAGTTAATAGCAAAACTACTCTTTCATTTAGAAGGTTAGCTTTTTCACTAACTTTAAAAACTGTTAGGGGACCAATTAGCTTCAGCTGAATTACATTTTKCAAACTTTAAGTTAGCTGACAGCTAACTAGCTAGCTAAAACCAACATGTTGGTATCAGTCCCACCAGTCTTTAGCTGGAAAGAGACAAAGAYGTGATGCAGACGGAGACAGTCGTCCTAGTGGTTAGCTATTAGCTGTAAGTGCTAGCTTCCGCAATTTTCTATGTTTAGTGTTAGTGAGGCTTAGTGGTGGGCATGGATCTACTTATCAGCTACTAGTCTAGTTATTAGTAAAACTGATCTTTCATTTAGCARATTAAGCTTTTTCACTGACTTTGAAAACCGTTAGCAGACCAATTAGCTACTGCTGAATTAAGTTTACTAACTTTAAGTTAGCTAACAGCTAACTAACTAGCTAAAATCAATCTCTCCCACTAGTCTTTAGCTGTAAGGAGACAAAGATGTGAAGCAGACTGAGTGACAGTCGTCAGCGTTTAGCGATTAGCTGCTAGTGTTAGCTWCACTAATTGTTCCTCATTTAGCTGTTTAGCGTTAGCCTCTGCAATTTTTTTGTACATGTTTCATGGTTTAGCATTAGCAAAGCTACCATTTTAGTTAGCAGATTATGATTTAGTGAGGCTAACGTTTTAGTTAGCTGCTTTTTCTACAGTTTATTCATCCAGACGTTTGTTTGTTTTTTTTTT